TTTCCTTCTAGTATGTTTAAAACTAGTTGAACAATCTGGGCCAAAAGAGAACAACTAACATTTGGAATATTTTTTCCTTTTTTTTTTTTTTTTTTTTTTTTTTTTTTTTGGTGTGTCTGTGTGTGTGTGTGTGTGTGTGTGTATTTTTTTTTCTTGTATGTATGTTTGTGACTTTTTTATTTTTTATTTTTATGTTTTTTTTTTTAACATTAACACTTGTTTTTTTCAGGGAAGGACAACCATAACCCACCCTAAGTTGCAACATTCCTTTCATAAGTTGTTTCATTATGATAGTAGATTGTGTTGAACTATAGAAATTAATTTGTTGTGTATATATCCATCTGGGGCAAGCTGCTGTGGAATGGGAAGCAGAGGTGTGGAGCTTAAATACAGTTTCCTTTAAATTAACAACATGTTAATGACATGTACCATGCTCCTTGAATATAACAGTTTTGTCACATTTAAAAGAATGTTTCAGGCCGGGTACAGTGGTTCACACCTGTAATCCCAGCACTTTGTGAGGCCGAGGCGGGTGGATCACCTGAGGTCGGGAGTTCAAGACCAGCCTGACCAACATGGAGAAACCCCATCTCTACTAAAAATACGAAAACAAAATTAGCCAGACATGGTGGCGCATGCCTGTAATCCCAGCTACTCGAGAGACTGAGGCAGGAGAATCACTTGAACCCGGGAGGTGGAGATTGCGGTGAGCTGAGATCGCACCATTGCACTCCAGCCTGGGCAAAAAGAGTGAAACTCCGTCTCAAAAAAAAAAAAAAAGAAAGAAAAGAAAAGAATGTTTCACATTGACCTCAACATTGGAGTAAAAGCATAAGGGTTTCTGATTGATAAATTATATATCACCTAAGAACTGGTAAATAAATTTTGTTCAATTTCATTGATTTTCAACAGAAGCATATTTCATAATATTACAACTATGATAAATTATGATAATCAATAATTAACAAAGGTTATCAGAAACAAATGTAAATGTTATGTAAGGATTTCTCTATTTTCTTCCCATTAATATATATACATACTAAAAAATTACTGTAATGGAATACTTAGTTACAACTTTATTAGTTGAGTTTTTATTATTATTCTAGTCAAGAGATATACTAAATGCCTTAATATTAAGGGCCAATATTTACAACTAAATATACAGTAACAAATTTCCATATACTGATTTTTAAATACAAATGAATAAAAAATCACCTTTGGTTTATCTCTGTGTAATTTGCAATATTGTACCCCAAATTTTTTTCTAGAAGTCAGTTCTTTCTTTAAGATAAGGAAAAGATAAATAAAAAAGATGAAACAAGTATAAAATTTTTACTAACATGTTATGACATCTGAAATACTAATATGTAAAGCCTTTGCTCCTAGACCTCAGGAGCTTGCCCTTTAAATATGTATATCTGCCTATTCATGCTATAAGCCCTAAATTACTGAGTTTATGCTCTTTCTACAGGTCCAGTCCAGGTGCAGCAGCAAGGAGAACATTCTCAGAGCCAGTAAGTATTTTACCATTTCTGGTGGGCTGCTGAACCAGAGCTTATAAAGCTAAAAATGATATTTTGGTGAAAAAAAGAAGAAAGCAATGGGGAACATTTATGTGACTAATATGAATATTAGGGCTTTTACCTTGTAAAAATATTGCCAGTATCAATATATTAATAAATATTTCCCTTAATCTAATTGTTTTTGCAAGCTGACACCAGAACTTTGATACACTCCTAGGAGGGTAGGAATGAGCTCCTCTGTGACGCTGAATCTCTTTAATTGTTTCACTGCCAAAAGTTATTTGAAAACAAACTAACTGAAAATAATAATAATAATAATGTACATTCCTGAAGAGAAGCTAATTCTAAAAAAAGAATATGTGGCTCCCAAAAGGGTACATCATAATCATTTTGTGAATAGGAATTTCTGACGTATCATAACTTCACAGGCAGCATGTTTTAGAACATAGAACCCTAAACCAAGAGTAAAGAATCCTCTATCCTCTATTTTATTTATTGGTTTGATCACTAATAGCGTTAACTCAGAAGTCATTTAACTTTGTATATCATTCATTTTTCTATCTTATAAAAAGGAACTATAATAGGTTTTCCTTATCTGTATCCTTGAAATGATGTCATTGAAAATTGTGTCTTAAAAGATTTAGGATCCTAAGAAAAAAGTGCTGTATAAATTCTAATTGTTTTATTATTGTTCTTTATAACTTAATAGCTGAATTACATCACCCTATCTTCTTCCTGATCTTTATCAAGAGAAGTACAGGGGAGTCATACTGAAATAGGTCTACTGATACTCATGCCACTGGGAGTTTTAGCAAATTGAATGATTTCTATTTCTAGCAGGATATCCGCATTATTTTTGTGTTATACTCCTGGTTATGGTTTATTACACTGAAAGGATACAGATTAACATCAGCAAAGGCAAAAAGATACATAGGGCAGAGTCCAGAAGAAACCAGGTGCAAGCTTTCAGTTGCCCTCTCCCAGTGGAGCCATATGGACATTGCTTATTTCTCCCAGCAACAGTGTATGACAGAATGCATCAAGTATTGCCAAGCAAGGAAGCTCACTGAGCCTTAATGTTCAGGGTTTTTATTGGGGTTGGGTCACATGGGCACAGAGTGCTCATGTGACTGATCTTTATTTCACAATAAAAAAATAGAGACCTTCACAAAGGTAAAAATTCTTGGGGTTTTTTTGTGTAAATTTTTCCATTTTTGTTTTGTAAATCTGTTATCTTAGCTCCAAACCCTTGGGCAAGCACAATTATTGCTCACCCAAGACCATTATATTGGCCAGGCACAGTGGCTCACACCTCAAAGAAATAAATTCCTCTGAGTCCCTTTGAACCTCCAATTTAGGGCATGGAGAGTGTTTCCAGTTGTTACAGTGAGGTGAGTCTCACATTAGATTGAACTTTGATTTATTTTCTTTGAGCTCTCCAGTTGCCAACTGTATTTTGTCTCCTAGGAGTAAGGAATCCTTTTTAGGACACCTTTGATAATCTAAATTTGGAAATGCATTTATCCTTGGTGAAAATCTGTCTTATTACCAATAACACTTCTATTTATCTCTGTCTATCCTTGTCATTTTCTGTTATATCTCTGTAAGGGGTAAGTTCATAAGGAAAAACATAGACATAGGCCTCAGTAAGTATTTTGCAAGCTGGCCCTGAAAACCAAGTTTCAGGTTTCTTGTAAGACTGGTGTCCTTTAGATAAACTTTGCCCTGGGTCATTGATCAACCTATGAGAACCTTCCTTGTTCTCTTTCTGTTTTGTTAGTGAGAGTCTTGCTATGGAAGAATTATAGTAAGCACCCTAAGGAATTTTTGATATGAACAAAATTGTTTATTTAAAAGGAGCCTGAGAATAAAAAGGAAACAAAATTGCAAACAATTAATGAGCTAGAGTTTTGTATTGGTTTGAAGAAATATCCCAAATAAAATCAGATTGCAAAAGTACTTCCATAAGAAATTCCTTGGCCAAGGCAAAATAAAATGTAATAAACTTAATGACTCTTTTACATCCCTGAAAACCAAATCTTGGCCCTAATTAAGAAGATACCTGGGTCTCACTGGCTATTGCAGACAATGAGTTCCCAACTTTTTTGAAATTGCCATGCCATTATATGACTTAACCAAGTCCTTAGAAACTGAACCTCTTTCGTGGGCACCAAATGTGAACAAGCTCTTACAACCTCTTGCCTTGCTATATCCATCAATCCTAAATGATTGTATCACGATCTTTATCCATTCTTAATGAAGCGCCTATATTAAAAGATCTACTTTGGACCAAACTTCAAAATCTTATAAATATCCTGACTTTCCTTTCTGTGACTCTGACTCTAAGACTAAGTCTTTGTTGAAGTGGCATTTTTCCTTTTTAGAGTCAAACTCCCTATGTTAAAATCTTGATTTCTCTACTTATTAGCTGTGTGAACTTGAACAAGTGCTCAGTATCTCTATGCCTCACTTTCCTGATCTGTAAAATGTGGTAATAACTTATTCACAAAGGGCAGAAATTGTAAAGAATAAAATAAATAAATTTTAAAATGTGGTAATAAGATGATCTACCTTATAGATTGTTACAAGGATTAATTAGTATATTTATGCTAGGTACATAATCACTCAGTAAATGTTAGCTGATATTATTGTTACTATTACTACTGATACTAACAATTACTGTTATTTTCTTGATAATGATGATAATAACAAGGTTACTTTTTATTGAATGTTACTGTGTATCAAATACTTTTCTACATGTTTCATCCTACTTAATCCTCACATACAACAACAAATCCTGTGAGTAAAATTCTATTAATTTCTACATTAAATAGATAAGGAAATTAAAGATTCCAGAGTTAAATAAGTTGCTTGTGTAAGTAAATGGTATATGAGTTGAAGCCAGTATTTCAGACCTTGATTTTATAGCCCACATTTTTAACGAACATGCTGTGTTACCTACTTAATTTCAATAAGGCCTTCAAAACTCAATTCAATATTACGCAAAATAAGCAATAGATAAGAATAGAAATTGATATCTGGTATATCCATGGGTACTTATAAACAAATATCTGATTATCGGTGCCAAAATCATTTTATTACCACATATACTATAAAGATGATATGATACTAGTTATTGTCTTATGTCATCTTTCCACCTGTAATTCATTTCCTTCTGTCAACCACTTTATTTTTAATAAAGCAAAATTTTGTTATTTTTATGAATAACTGGTTTTATGCAAGAAATCAAGTAAACTAAAAAAATGTTACAGTGAGGAATGCCATATGTGAACTTATATTTCAGCACTTCAATACAGTGTTTTAATTGCTTTCTTTCTCCCCCACCCCGAGACAGAGTCTTGCTCTGTCACCCAGGCTGGAATGCAGAGGCATGATCTCAGTTCACTGCAACCTCCACTTCCCAGGTTCAAGTGATTCTTCTGCTCAGCCTCCCAAGTAGCTGGGACTACAGGTGTGCGCCACCATGCCCAGCTAATTTTTGTATTTTTAATAGAGACAGGGTTTCACTATGTTGCCCAGACTGGTCTTGAACTCCTGACCTCGTGATCAGCCTGCCTCAGCCTCCCAAAGTGCTAAGATTACAGGCGTGAGCCACCGTGCCCAGCCTTAATTGTTTTCTTAATGTACTTTGTTCAGCCTGTGTATAGGACAAGTGGTACATTTTCCTGGGATTCACTTTTATAGATTTTTTAAGTCTATTTTAATGGAATTTAGAATTTTTATTGATATATATTTGTACCTATTTATGGAGTACATATGATATCTTGATACATGCATAGAATTTGTAATGATCAATTCAGGGTATTTGGGATATCCATCACCTCTTGAGCATTTTTCATTTCTTCATGTTGGGAACATTTCAAATCCTATATTCTAGTTATTTTGAAATATACAATACATTGATGTTAACTATAGTCACCCTACTGTACTATAAAACATTAGAACTTATTCATTCTATATAACTGTATGTTTGTACCTTTTAGCCAACTTCTCTTTATCCCCCACCCCATCCTTCCCAGCCTCTGATAATATCACTCCACTCACTGCCTCAGTGAGGTCAACTTTTTTAGCTCCCACAGTTTAATGAAAAGTTACAATATCTGTCATTCTGTGCCTATCTTACCTTCACTTAACATGCCTTCCAGTTCCATCTGTGTTGCTGCAAATGACAGAATTTCTACTATTTTAAATAGTAGTCCATTGTGCATATATACCACATTTTCTTTATCCACTTATTTATTTATGGACACAGTTTCATTCTATATCTTGGCTATGGTGAACAGTGCTTCAGTAAACATGGGGGTACAGCCATCTCTTTGATATGCTGATTTCCTTTCCTTTGGATATATACCCAATTGTAGAATTGCTGAGTTATATTGGTAGTTCTATTTGTACTTTTTTGAGGGAGTCCATAGTGTTTTTTATAATGTCTTACTAATTTACATTCCCACCAACAGTGTGTAAGAGTTCCCTATTCTCCACATCCTTACCAGCATTCATTACTTTTTGTTTTTTGTTTTTTATAGTAGCCATTCTAACTGGAGCCGGATTATATTTCATTATAGTTTTGATTTGCATTTCTCTGATGATTAGTGATGTTGGGCATTTTTTCATATACCTATTGGCCATAGGTATGTCCTCTTTTGAGAGATGTCTATTCAGCTAATTTGATTACTTTTTAATGGAATTATTTGGGTTTTTTCTGTTGAGTTGTTTGAATTCCTTGTATGTTGTGGATATTAGTCCCTTGTCAGATGAACAGTTTGCAAGTATTTTCTCCCATGTTGCAGGTTAACTCTACTCTGTTGATTGTTTCTTTTGCTGTGTGGAAGCTTTTTAGTTTGATATAGTCTCATTTGTCTGTTTTTCTTTTGTTGTCTGTACTTTTGAAGTCTTAGCCAAAAAATATTTGCCTATACCAATGTCCCAAAGTGTGTTTCTTCTGTGTTTTCTTCTAGCAGTTTTATAGT